TCAACATGCTTTAATTGTTAATATATTTGAGATCATACCATCCGATAAATAAAGCGGCCGAGTGCAAATAGAACTTGACGATATCTTCCAATGAACGCTAAACATTTGCGCTTTAAGTATTTGATTGGCTCATATGAAAAACAGTCGTCTCAATCAGGTACTAATATAGTAATTGCAATGGATACATCTACGAGTGACGAGAAAGCAAGTGTGGGTATTTTTATCTCTCATTACTCTGGTTGTTCTCATTACGCTTCCCAGATTATACACTCATATTTAAAGTGGAATTACCGGCTGGTATACTAGCTCTTCGAAAACTTCCTGCAACTCATTCGACAGCTGTAATAGTGACGGACGCGCTATCCGTGTCTTCATTTTTGTTATCGTCCTCGGCACCAGCAGTACTAGATACATTTAAATCATTGGTACTAGCGAACATTCGTCTTGTGCGAATGATATGGGTGCCAGGCCACCGTAGTATATTTATAAACGAGATGGCTGACACACTTGCGCGAACATCTCTTGATCTTACGATTGTGCCAATCATGCCTCCTACAGCTACTGTAAGAGCAGTGAGGTTCAGAAAACTTTCCTTTCTGAGGACTCATCAAAGATTACAATACCGAATCCAGATTCCACACTTCAAAGCATAGTTGACGCTTTGGTTATGCCGGTTATTCTATTTTCCCCCGGCGTACTTCTCTTCTTCCTCGTCTAACCTAGCGCCCTTGACCTAACGGTGATTTAATCTTTTCAATCGGCCACGACTCCGACGGAGTGTTATCAGATGCTGCCATAGTCTCTTGCGTGCGACATTGAATGTGCCGCAGTGGTACATACTTACAAAGAACTTTACTTAAACACCAAAGGGACCAGTTGAACGGAGTCCTAAGACCCTCTCAACCAGTAAGAGGCTCCACCCAGATTGGCACAGGAAGGTTGAAGATCCTCCGCCTTGGCTCGGGCCCTCTGGACAGCCAGTAGTTGTACATCCAAGCCCGGGGTGTGTAAGTTCCGCCGCCACGAGTCTTCGTCACAAATCAGCGCCCACTTTCACAGGGCACTGCCAAAGCATGTGGGTTAGCGAGCAACTGCTGAGGCCAGAACGAAGACACTCTTCATGAAAGTTCGGCTCTATCATAACATAGGCTAAAGGGCAGAGATATGTACCCGTCTGGTTTAGTCAAAAAGTATTTCCCTGGGCTCAATCGAGGCTAGCATTAGGAAGCTGAAAACGCTTGCGACTCTGGACGTAATCTAATGGAGCGTTATGAAAGCATGTTTTCTGAGGTCATTAACCCGCCAGACGCTTCACCATTTCCCACACGGTTCCTGCATTCACGTCCAAGTGTGTGAGTGCTACATTAGGATTGACCTCATCAATTCCCTCAACGTGTGCTGAAAGCTAAGAGATATTGTGACCACCAACCAACCCATCTCGCCTGTCGGCGACCACTCTAAATGAGCCTGGCCACTTGCTTCGCAATCAAGCCTCCAGAGAAGGCCCAAACGGTCGATCTTAAATCTGAGTGAATCTCACAAGGCGCCTCTGCTGCTTGAAAAGCTAACGCGATGGCGACCTCCTCTGCAACTGTCACCTGATCTGTACAGATTGAAGGCCGGGACATGAGTTGGCCTTTACCGCCGACGACTGACACCCTAATCCCCCCCCCCCCTCAGTGGTATGTCTTTTTAAGACGTGACATATTTCACCGAGGTGCTGAAGACTCAGGTGGCCGAGTATGACTACGTCAGTCGTGGCCGCAGGTTTGGCGACGCTGAGGTATTGTACGGGTATCAGCCAGAAGTATATCTGGAGGACGAGACTGACTGCATCATTAAGGTCGACTGCAGCACGCTGCGTCTGGGTGCGGGAATATGTCACATACTCCGGTGTATGACACTGGCTATGTCGAGGTGACCGTCACAGGTCTTGATCATCGGGTGATGGTGTTAGACGCATTGCAGGTGCTTCAGCTGGAGGCACTGGCTAGTTACGAGAAGGCTTTTATCGCCGCATTCTGGGCGCAATCGGAGATTCACGAGCGACTTCTCTCGGGGATTGACGAGCACATGCGCACGTGTCCACTGACCATGGTGTCCGGAAAAATTAGTGAGGATGGTCATGGGCAATCTTGTATGACTGGACTCGACTATTTCCTGTAGAGGTAGAATGCAAGCTGTGGCGTTACAGGCCTTCATAGACAGGTAAAATGCGTTGATTGGTGGCTCGTTCGTCAAGAAATGGCCCACGTGATCGGTTGGTGTCGAGCTTGGAGGTGACATCACGAACATCTGAGGCTCGAGGGTTGTCTTTATGTTTGCCGTCGGGCTGGAGGACAGTGATGAGACATTGAGCTGGTAACCCTGTGAGTGGGCGCGTCGGTAGAGGGCCCAGCGACGTCGTGCCTCTATTTTCTCTTTCCATGAGAGATAGCAGCGTGATAGGTGACCGAGGTGCATTAGCGAGGTATTAGCCTCATATCTCAAATCCGTGGTAGAAAATAGGTCTGCAGGAAGGAGGTCGCAATGGTGAGAAAGGGGCAGAAAAGCAGTAGCCTACCTGGCAAGCCACTAAGGTCACGGTTGTGCCATGCTTTGGCCGCACCGCGAATGTGGTCGAAGGCAATTATTCATTCCCGGTCTTTCGGACAGGAACGGAGTACGGCTTCAATCCATCCGAAGCCACGTCTTGGAAGCCGCAAACTGCGGCCCTGCTAATAAAAAAGCCGCCCGCATTTGTGAATGAAGGGAGGGGGGGAAGGTATCGCATGAATGTTGCGTAATTGGGTATGGTTTGGAAGGCCTTATTGGTATTTCGTCTTTATTATTTGTATTAGTTGAATGAAGAATCGTTGCCTTCCACGAGTGGTAAACGGTGATGCTGGGCTGTGCTCCACTACTGAATAAATGTACTGTGGGCTCCATCGTATCTACTCGAGTGCAGCAAAGCTTCAAGTCAAGCAAAAGCAAAGTAAGGGCTGCTTTCACTGAATTCCAACTGCGCGATTCAGTGCCCTACATATAGCGGGGGGGGGGGCAGTGAATGATTGTGCAATGCGAGAACAGAACAGCATGCACTGTTACCACGCTGCGTCACACCGGTCGCCATGTCGTGTGTAGCCGTGACTGCAAGACCACGTGAACCTTGGCCATCAAGCAAGCATCATCGCTAGCAGTCGGTTTTTACGACCAGATGCTGCCTGCGTCGTCCTTGCGAGGTGAGAGAAGGGGGAGCGACATCTGGCTCGAGACCCGAGTATGCGGCGCAAGACGCGAGCATGCGCAGTGGGGGTGTCGACGACACTGCCGACGCCGCATTTGCGAATAGGTGTGACTATAATATGCTCGGCATTTAAAAGCCGCCGACAGTGAAACGCCACGCGAAAACCCGGAGCGTGCCACCGCAAGAAAGCCCAGTTGTTCGTCTGTGAACTGCGTGAGCGAACAATAAAGCTCGCAGCCTTTCTCTAGTGGGCTGGCTTCAAGGTTTTGCGAGGAGGCCGCAGCCAAGATGACATTGAGTGCTCATCAATTTTGGTGAGTTCTCGCAATACGAAGGCGCAATATTGAGTGCTCACAGTACGAAGGCGCTAGCTGTTGCACGGAGTTGCGCGATGGTATGCTGCATCTCCTATGGCGCTGTCGGGTGGTCCGCGTCGAAATTCAAGGCAGATATCTGCGGAGGCGACAGCGACTCCTGAACTCACGGTGGCATAACCCATGGCCAAAGACGCGTGGACGGCAGTCCGTGGGAGGCTGATTGGATGATCCCGTAGGGGTCCAGTTGATGGGATTCACGCTAGATATGAGCGTTAACCGCTTTCCCAGACGAGGAGAGTCCGTGCAGTGCGTCGGCGGCAATCGTTGTCGCAGCGCCGATGAAGGAAAGTTGAGCCACGGAGGAGGCCTGTAGGCCTTTCCCAGAAATCTTTTACATGGGAGGGAGGTTGAGATGCGACAAGCGGGTAAAGACGCCTTCCCGGATGGTGCCCGTAGCGCTAGGTAAGCGGGTGACAACGAAGCTTGGATGCTGTTCCTTCTGAAGTGTTTCCTGCAGCAGCAGGCCCGCGGTTTTCATAGCCTTGGAAGCGAAGCCAGCGTGGCTTCGCTTTCTAGGACACGCACGCACGCACACACACGCGCGCACACAGGCTCGCACGCGCACACGAGCACACACATGTCCACGCGCGCGCACACATGCCCACGCGCACGCGCACGCGCACACGCGCACACACACACAGAGAGAGAAAGACAGACAAACACAGATGAACAGACGCTCAGAGTACCTGCAGTACACAAAGAAACACTCAAAATTTAACAACCCGTAATTACAAACCATGATTCGGACTAGATAAGGGTAGATCGACACCGTAATGTTTTTGTTGTTTTTGATGTATTCAAACACAGTAGACCAGATATCTCTGTAGCAGCATAAAACGAAGTACCAGTAGCCTAAAGAAGTGATAAAATTACTGAAAGATTTACTCGTCATCCCCAATTCTGAAATGGTGCTTCTAGGAATATTCCTTTGATAAGAGTAGCGACGACTGAATAAAAAAATTCAATCATTGAAACTATGTTGCGAAAGTTGCCTTATAGGGACCCTACCTTCAGTCCAGTTTTAATTATTATTTCAGTTGTTGAACTGCAGAGCATAATCTTGCGTTAAGAACTTCTAAGTGGCGAGATACACGCCATTGTTTATTCCAAGAATGCGTTAGATGCTTGCATTTTCCAAATTTATTTAGTGATAATTCACATATTTCTTATTGCAAAGAAGCATTTCTCAACCTTAATGTTGTCGCGAAAGCCATATTTGGTAAATCTCGGATTAGGGGTACACTACTAGCTACAGTGGCTAATAGATACAGTAACACGGTTGCATTTTTTTCTACGTGTGTGTTATACGTACATGAAAAAGCGAGCTATGCCAGAAACTCAACTTGCCCGTTCAGTATTGACGCCTAGTTAATGTAAAATTCTTTTTTATATTTTAGTTGGCCAAGACGACGCGGAGGCCTTTAGGACGAGAGAATGCGAACCTCTTCATAACCCCTGCAGCTACATTGAATGGCTGCTGAACGTCGGCGGCGTGAACTGAGCTCAGCGAGCCGCGAGTGTCCACTCCGGACAACTGTAGTGAACTCCAAGAGGACAGCGGTTGCACTTGCTCACCGCCTTCCATCGACACCTCATGTACTGGCGCATGACACGTCCAGCAGTGCACAAACTTCACTGCTCTCATCGGTGCAGTTGGAAGCACACAGTGGTGCTTACGCAAAGCCCAACGCCTTGGAGGTCTGGTCGCACGCCTTCACCCGTTGATGCACCACGTGGGTGTGGTGGTTGTCTCAGGATAGGCAGCGAAAACGCACGCAGGACGTCTAGGCCTTGGAATCCGTCTCCGATGCTTTGGTACTACATCTGGGAACAGCAGCATAGCTACCGCGCTGCGTCACACCGGTCGCCACGTCGTGTGCAGCAATGGCTGCAAGACCGCGCGAACCTTGGCGATTTAGCAAGCATCATCGCGGGTGTCAAACTGCTGTTACGAGAGCCCTTTCAGTGAACTGTAGCGCACTTTTCTGTCGGCTCACCCACACTGTGAACTCGCTGATCACTATCATTCTTTTAAATTCAGTCATCTGGTCATTTCCTGGGGATGTCTCCTTCACAATAAACCACTCATAGAGCAAGACTTGCACAATTCGTCTGTGATATGTCGTACTAAGGCTTAAAGAAAGTATCCTGACCTCACGAGGCCATCGATGCGATTGTAATGCTGCAAAATGGAGAGGCTCCTCACTAACCTCTGTAAAAAATATCAGTATCTTTCCAAAAGGATCACTTATGTGATACGAAGCACCAGCGTTTCATATGGGTGGTGTCACGGGTTAAACGTATCTGATGCGGGTGCTACGGTGAGCCTGAGAAGATTTGTTCGAAGCGATGGCTGGCGTAGGTCTTTTAGATGACACCTACATACATGTTTAAACGCATACGTTAGGTGCGCGTCAGGTTCATTGCGCGTAAACCGACGAGTCATCGGTGTAGCGAGCAGTGGTCATGGCTGGTGTTGCCGTTGAACGAACGAGGCGGCAGCTGCTGGCACTGCGGCTAGAGTGTACTAGTACACTGTACCGCGGCGAGCGCGCAGCAGGCGTGGCAAAAGGAGGTCAGCGTGCATTGCGAGGAGAATGTGACGTCGACGCGCAGCAGTGGCGTGACCTACTTGGCACCGCGCCAACGCCTGCGGTCCGCGGCACGTTCGTGCAGAGGGACAGCGTTACACAGGCTAGTCAGGGCTGCTTATCTAAAATGAGAGAATACTGTGTTTTCTTGGCATTTCATGCTTTTCTAGGACACTTATTCAGAAACAAATTGTGAGAAGAGCCTGCACCACTACTGTATCGCAGGTACTTATTCAGAAACAGTGGACGTCACTATAACCACTTATTCAGAAACAGTGGTTATAGTGACGTCTCTAAGGTAAACACCTTCGATTGATTCATATACGCTCAATATCAAATGTCACACTGCTATACCATGCAGCCGCCCATCCGTTCTCCCTTGTCTCCCATGGATGTCTTGTAGAAGCCTATTGCTGTCACATCTTTTTGTCTTCAATTGCACAGGTGGCGATAACATCGTGTTGCTCACAAGCGCGAAACTTTTATAGGCTCGTCACTTAGTATTTAATTTCTGCATGCGATTTTATGAACGAAGTGGCTAGGAGGAGGTACCACCTAAGGAACAGGTGGTCTCTTCCTCACCTGAGGTGAGGAACAGACCACTGCTTCGCATGTAAACGCGGGCTAACAAGGTAACCTTTTTGTTACCATTATGTACGCCCACACAGCAAAGCCAACCTCCCTGTGGCTATAACCTAATGTAATCCCGTCACTAACAAGCTAATTTTTTGTTTCCAATAATTACGCACACACAGCAGAGTGAACCTCTGTGTGGCTATAGCCTAACGTAATCCCTCCAAAGGATAAAATTACTGCCACGTTTATTTTTAAACCTAGCTTCTCAATTGGGTGCACAAGGTATCTTTTCCTTTGATAATAATAGCGGTGACAGAATACAAAGAAATTGATTGTTTCAATTTCCTTGCAAAAGTGGCATAAAGGAGATGCTGTGAATCGAGCTTATGTAAATCATTCCAATGCGAAATCCTGCAGCGTCATCAGGCGCTTGTAATTTCTAACTGCCGAGATACGCACCACTGTTTATTCCAGCAAAATCTTAGTTGTATGAAGTCTTTGACGTTATTCAATGATAATTTGTGTATTTCCTTGGGCAAAGAAACATTTCTATATCTAAGTGGTGTTGCATAGGCGACCAACTTATTGTTTCTTTTTACTTCTCTTTTCTGTCATACTTCTTTTTTGTCATTGTTCTGTTTACTGTCTGTGTCTGTATTTTGCTATATTTATTGCTTTCTTGCTTTGTCTTTCTCTTCTTTCTTGCTTTTTGACTATTTTTCCTTCCTTTCTTTTTCTTTTTAACCTCTTTCTGTCTTCCTTTGAATCGATATTGTTTTCTTTCTTTGTCTTTCTTGGTTTCTTTTTACATGTTTTCGTTTAATTATTTCTTTGTATGTACCTTATCTTTTACATATCTTCTAATTTCTCTGAATATACGTTATCTTTGTTTTGATTTTTCTTTTTTCTTTCTAAGTATGCCTGACACACAATTGACGTATGGTACAAAAGGTTTTCTATGCTACTTCTTAGGTCGGTGGTAGTTGGCTGGAACATTGCGTAATAAACGCGAAGCTTCTTTTTTTTTAACCAACCTTCCGAACAACGGATTCTAGCGATCGATTCACACGGCCGCCTGCGTCAACGTGCTCTCTTGGGCGCCGCCTCAACTTGGTATTGACCTAAATTGGCATAGTACGACATGATATCATAAAAGATGCGACTGCTTGGTCGTGACCTAACACAAATGCTGTCATGTATATGACAACCCTTTCATCTAATGACTTGTTGCACATACCAGTGTACAAACATTTCAAGGAGTGCGGTTTGCAGGTACGCGCCACAAATGTTTTGCATCGTCCGCACAGGCAAAACATGAACACACACTGACAATTTAAACACCATTTGTACAGAAATTAGCGTGTATACATAGCAGGTAAGGTATGGAACAAAAATGTATGACATCACAGCATAAATACCATAGTATAGTCATGTATAGTAAAGAACAAGTGGAGAAGAGGTCAATGTGAGGGCGAAGAAAGGGAGTTAGGAATACAGAAAACAACTTGAAAGCACAAAAAAGACATAACCGGGCTGCAATGCTTATTGCAAAGTATTCAAGCTGGTATCGCTTGACGCGAGTGGCGTCGACATCGATAGACCTGCTGATGCCGCGTTAAAACCAGCGACCGACCGAAGAAATCTCAAATATCGTCGCACCTCAGTGGGAGTTCTACAAGTTGTGGGCTCAAGTGCCGAATATGTAACGCCTCTGTATATACTTTACATAAATGCTGCCTTCGCCCCGCCGCGGCGGTCTAGTGGCTAAGGTACTCGGCTGCTGACCCGCAGGTCGGGGGTTCAAATCCCGGCTGCGGTGGCTGCATTTTCGGTGGAGGCGGAAATGTTCTAGGCCCGTGTGCTCAGATTTGGGTGCACGTTAAAGAACCCCAGGTGGTCGAAATTTCCGGAGCCCTCCACTACGGTGTCTCTCATAACCATATGGTGGTTTTGGGACGTTAAACCCCACATATCAATCAATGAATGCTGCCTTAACTCACCGTCACCTTGCCCACTCCGTCTATCAGCTCTGCGCAGATGCAGCTTCGGGCTGAGATGCTCGACACTCAACAGTGGATGGCAGCTTCGAGATCGACTAGCGTCAGCTACCTCGATGCAGTGAGTGCCTGTCATTTTGCTCTCAGTTCACCAGACTGCTTTAGCTTAAGTTGTAGTAGATTGAAGTTTATTCACTGTCGAGGGCATACAACATTCATTTATCAAGTGGTTGAATTGGAAGAGGTAATGAAAAGGCAACTGAATGCCTGACACAGCACCGACCCCTGCCCTGGCCACACTAATGCACAATTCTGAGTAACTACCAATGCATATATAAAGAATACTAACCGCTGGTCATTAAGGGTAACTAACTGGATTCCCAGAGAAGACAAGCGGGTTAGGGGGAGACAGAAGGTTAAGTGGGCAGATGAAATTAAGAAGTTTGCGGGTATAAATTGGCAGCAGCAAGCACAGGACCGTTTTAATTGTCGGAACATGGGAGAGACTTTTGTCCTGCAGTGGACGTATTCAGGCTGATAATGATGTAGGTTATGATATAAAAAATAAATCTGTGAAGTAAGAATGCATAAATACAATACACTGTCAAAACACAAGAATTACATCAACCTGAAGCATAAATACACGAATTAAAAACAGCAGTATTACGATAACTGCAGATCTGCAGTGATAAAAAAATATCGAGAAGAAATAATTGAGCACTCGTAAGAACTAGTAGATTATAGATGGGCTGTGTGAATCATTGGAATGAGCTTCGATTGTTTCATGCCAAGAAGGAGCGCTTCGAAACCAAAGTGAAAGGAAAGAGGTGTACACATGGTAGTGTTGAAAATCACTTGCGCGTCTTGGTATAGTGGGTATATACGGCAAGTTGACTCTAAGCAAGGACAAACAGCAAAATGATAGTTTGAAAGAGGGAGAACCCCAAAGTGGAAGAACTCTTGGAAATTCATGAGGAGCTAGGTCCTCATAAACACGTCGGCGCAAACACGTCGGCATAAACACGTCGGCAAGGTAAATGCAATCAAGTGGTCTCTTTGGGCGCAGAACCTGTTAGCTCTACTTCCCCGGGAAGTATCCGGCGTGATAAAAGTCTTGTCCAGAAAATTGTTTGAGAGCTATGACAAGGTTAAGGAAACTTTCTTGAGACCTTGTGAGTTGTCACCCGAAGCTTTCCGCCGAAGGTTCTGATATGCAAGGCGGGGTAGTGAGTCACACGTTGACATCGCGTTTCACCTTAAAACTGTTTTAACTCAATGGCTGAGGGGGAACATGTTTATGACGATAGCGATAATGTGGTAAAATGCATTTCATTAGAACAATTCTACCGCTGCATTGAAGATAATGAGAAGCTTAGGCTGCAGGAGAAGCTCGGCGAAATACAGCTAAGCAAGACAGTATAGTTAGCTGAGGAGTACAATACTCGCCGAAACTTGCATAGTAGGACAGAGGGCGTTGGAAAAGATTAAAAAAAAAACAGAAGGCTTTCCAAAGAAACTTGATAAACGAAAACCCACTCCGCACCCAAATTTCAGAAAGGACCCTTCTCTTGCGAAGCACATGGTGAGGGTAGGGCAAACGGAAACGCAGAAATTGAGTGAGGTTTCTAAGCACAGCGCTGATATCACATAAGAGTTTAAGTCGCGGAAGCCACTAGTCTGCTATAGCTGCAAAAACGAAGAGCAAATCACTTTGAAGTAAAACAAAAGTTGGCTTTTCCTTAAAAAATGAAGCTTTGGGCTTGTTGGTTTAGCATTATCAAGTACGAACAGCGCGAACTGTACACGAGGGCACAAGAGAGAGACAAGCGTGCTGACTAGCAACTGAATTTTGTTCCACATGAAAAAAATTATATTCAGAAAAAATGAAGAAAGTAAATAAATATGAATAAAGCATGACAAGATCATCATACACGCTCTTC